CATGTCAAGCTCATGCCTAGTTGAATCCAATCGAATCTAATTAATTCTTTAATGGTAAAAAAGACCATAATGAATTTTAATAGGGTGATATTTATTTTGTCTTCCTATGTAGGACAAAAATCCTTCACGTTTTCTTCTTTCTCTTACACCTTTACAATCCAACACCGCATCCATATATTAAAATAGTGCTGATTACTACATTATACAGAAGGGATGGTATCTTCAGCCATCTTTCTCTATGAATCCTCACACAAAATCATACTCTCTTTGTCCGCCAAAATTATATCCATTTCTTTTGTAAATACGTGGGTATTAGATGGGTCATGGAAACGCTAGGTAGGAAGGGAGGCCGGTGATCCCATACCTATACTGAAAAATTTCTGACATTGAGATGAAAAATAATAATTTACTATTGACATCTAATCAATTAGTTCAATAATACTTTTCATATAAATTAAATTACTCAATATTAATTGTTTAACTTAAAGAATGATCATCTTGAAATAAATGGATAAACTGATTTTTTTAATTCCGTAACTAATCTCATTTATCATTTTAGTCTTCTAATTGGAGGCTGTATTAAAATAGTCTCGTAAGTGAAAAATTTTATCAATTTAATTCTCAATGCCTATGTGGCATCTGCGTGGAAGATTGGCGGACACATGTCAGCCACCTCAGTGCCACGTGGCTAACACGTGTCCGCCTTGTTGATTATTTTTAGTTTTATTTTTAAAATATAAAAAAGTTAAAATTATAAAATAAAAATAAAAATAAAATATAAAAATATAAAATTAAAATTAAAAAGTAAAAATTAAAAATAAATAAAATATAAAAATAAAATTATCCATATGTCCGTCAAATCAGCACTATGTGACTTTTAATAATTTATAATATTAGTATATTTTTTATATTTAATATTTTATTTTTAATATGAAAAAATAAATTATCCACGTAGCGGCCACGTGGTGCTGATATGACGGACATGTAGATAATTTTTATTTTTTTATTTTAATTTATATATATTTTTTATAATTTTAAAATTTATTTTTTTATATATTTTATATATTTAATTTTAATTTTACTTATTTTTATTAAAAAATAAATAAAAAATATCCACGTGGCGCTGATCTGGCCGACACGTGTCCGTCAGCCTACCACACAGATGCCACATAGGCATTGATGACTAAATTGAGAAAAACTTCAACTTATGGAACTATTTTAAGACAACCTCCAGTTACGGGACTAAAATGATAAAATGGTCCAGTTACGGGACTAGAAAAACAGTTTACTCTAAATAAATACTACCTCCGTCCGGTTCTAAGCATCTCATTTATTTTTTGCATGTTGATCTTTAAATATTAATTATTATATCAAAATATAGTACAAAGTAAGGGAAAATAGCAAAAATATTTCTATCAGTGTCTTATAATACTATTATAATGACATTTGTGCAAAAAATTATACAAATATAAAGATATTTTTAATGTTAAGTACAATGCCGCAAAATATAAATGAAACTCTTAGAACCGGACGAATGGAGTAAATAAATACATAAATAAATAAAAAATATCACACCATAGACCATAAAAAGAAAAAAAAAATCAAAAAGAAATTATCCGCTCCAGAAGAATACACAACTAAGTCAAGTACAAATCCAATTGAATAGTAAGTTTCGAATAATTCAAATGCATCCTTAAAAGTGCATATTTTACGCATGGTATCTATAAACTTAAGGGTGAGTTTCTTTAGAGTGGTTTGAGAGAATTTTGGTTTAAGTTTGGATTTGATTTGAATTATAGGATGAGTTTGAATTTTGGTGTTTCTTTTATGTGTAAATTTGGTTTGAATTTGGAGAATTTTTATGTGTATCGATTTGATGGGTAAAATTTACAATAATAAAAATATATAGTAAATTTAAATTTTTAAATTAATAATGATATTATTTGAATATGAATTTATATTATATTTACATATATACTTTTATATTTTTATTTATTTATATTATAGAAAATTTTATTTTCTACAAAATAATATATATTGTATATGTTTTATTAAATAATTATTATTATAATTATAAAATAATTATTTTACATGAGTATCTGCACGGTCCGTGGAAGTGGTTCCATAGTTCTGGATTTATATATAAAAAAAAAAAAAAAAAAAGTCAAAAGCTGCAGCTGTGCAGCAACTGCCCTGCTAAGAGGAGGGGTAATTTGGCGCTGTGCACAGTAAGTTTGTCTTATATGTGAAACCACTACAAAAAAATCTAATTTAGTGATGGATATTTGTGAAGGATCTAAATCCCTTGCCAATAGTGACGATCTGTGAATGATAGTTGCAAGAGATTTTAATTCCCTCGCCAAATAATTGTGGGGGAATTAATCCCTCGCAAATTTTTTTCATGTTAGGTATAAAAACAGTTGATGAGAGAATTAGTAATGTAATTGATAATTGTTATTTGTAATTGTAATTTGTGTATATATTCACAGGGAATTTAATATTCAAAAATCGAGGTGTGAATGACTATAAAAAGTGGCCAAATACAGTAAAAGATTGTGGTTGTAGACTCTGAGTAGTTATCACAATTATTTATTCTCTTTTACTGGTGAGTTTCAAGGTCGAACACAGGATTTTAAGTCATGAATTTCAAATCAAGTGTAGATCTTATAAAAGCGGCGAGAAACCGCAGTATAAGGACCCGCTTTGCAGCGGATCCAGGTTTTTTACTCTATGGAAAGCGGTAACTAAAAGCGGTAAAGCTGAGCGGAGGCGAGCGGATGGGAGATGAGCTGAGGAGTGCCAGTGATGGTCGAGTGAACGGGACATGAGCAGATGACACAATATATATATGTATATATATAAGTGGTGATGAGTGAAGGAAAGGTGTTGTGTCTGAACTGTGCGTTACTTAATGGCTAGGTTTTCCTGGATGAAGTGAGCGAGCGATGTTGGTGTGTTAAGGGAGGTATATGTATAACACGAAAGCGGGGGAGAAGATGATGTAAGTATATAAACCAAATTATAGAGAATTCTTATCACTAGTATCTGACCTTAAGGGATTTACAACAAGACTTTAATGACACCTAGAATCGAAATATTATAAGAAAGAAACCCTACTGTCACTAGGAATTTCTGTGACCTAATAGACCACCGCCTATGTCCCATTAATTACCCCAAATTCTACCTCATTAGTGGCTTTACCCTTCTGTTACCTCTCTTTAATTAAAATTGAATTCAAAACAGTAGTTAAACAGGTCGACAAGGCTCTCACGTACTCAATTACATTAAACTACCTTGAAAACGTTTTTGGCAAAAGACAAGACTTGGATAATCAATTCTTCTTGTGCTCTAAACCAGTTAAGTGAAATTCTTTAATATCAGGGTTTATATCAGTGTGAAAAAGATGTGAAAGAGATAAAAATGAAGAACTAAATGATATTTCACTACTTACTAATAAAGCTGGAAATTATAGTTCTACAAAACTGTAAATAAAGGCAATAAAACTACACTAAGTAAGCAATAAAGTCTTGGCTAAAGGAGAAGGGGAATCCCCACTCCCTTGGCCATTCCTGTGGAGAATTCCCTTACAGGGTTGGAGCTCTCGGAAACAGGAAGATAACTAGAATGCACATAAATTAATCATTAATATACTCTAGTGGAAGTATATTTACATACAAATATCTGGCCCTATTTATAGTAGGTGAAAAGAAATGGTTGCAAGCAGTTACAAGACAGTTTCAACACCTAGCCAGTTAGGCGGTTGATGACAGTTATTATGTTGAAGCAGTTGCTGGCCATAACTCCTAGGGTGCTCGCTTTGCTTGGATAGGATTATAAAGGCTCAGATCTTCCTCGCTTCCCGGAGGGCTGGAGGGCATCAGCGCAGCTAGGCAGACTTGCTTGTGCTAGCTGGTAATGGAATGGCTGTAACGCTGCAGTTGGGACACTTAGTCAATATTTGAGTTGGGTTGTTGTCACTTTGCAGCGGTGGGTGTCCGGGCCGTCGCTCGCGAGCGGGAGAGACTGTCGTTTGTGAGCAGTGGAAGCTACCGCTTGCCTCTCTTGCCTTAGTTTTTCTGGGTGGTGTAATCGCCGCTTGCAAGCGGAGGTGGCTGTCGCTTGTGGCGTCTGCCTTAATTGTTCTAGCACCAAAACACCGCTTAAAAGAGCAAAAATCGTTAATAATCTCAACAAACAACTATGGATCATGCCAAGCGATATAGGTAAATAAAGTATGCTATTAACCAGTAATTGTGATAGTTTTTATACAGAAATTTAAGTAATACACAGTTTTGTCAAGTTAAGAATATGCACATATTTGGAGTCATCAATAATATATCCCTTGCTAATTAAATAACAAAATTTGCTAGGGAATACTATAAAAAAAATATATTTCACTATAATTTTACAAAACAGAGAAGAATTTAATGAATATTTCTCTTGCAAACTATTACTTACAAAATAAAAATAAAAGTAAAATTTTATGTAACTTACAATAATATTATTATTTAAATATGTAAAATAAATTAATTTATAATTTGTAATGTTTAATACTACCTCCTTTCAATACTAAACTTCTCATTTATATTTTGCGTTATTGTTTTTAACATTAAAACTATCTTTATATTTGTATAATTTTTGTACAAATGTCATTATATTAGTATTATAACACACTAATAAAAATATTTTTATTATTTTTCCTTAATTTGTACTACTGATATAATAATTAATATTTAAATATGAAGATGCAAAAAGTAAATGAGAAATTTAGTCTTGGAAGGAGGGAGTATTATTTTTATATTTATAATATCTTATATCTTTTATTTTTTTTTTTTTGTTATTAGTATTAATATTAGTATTATTTTTCTATAAGGGTAGAATAATATATAATATTATAAATGAATATTAATTTATTAAAACTAGTAGTAATAAGTCTTTTACCTACTAAGCTCTACAGCCGCCGCCGCCAGCATCCCATCTTCATCTTTTCATTCTTTTTGTTTTTCAACTTACTTTTTTTTTTCGCGGTCAAATTTCTCTCATTGTTGTAGGCTCGTAGATCCCCATCATTGAACGCAACCACAGGTTTTGCTTCCTTACCTGTTTACCGCGGGCGGCGACATTTGTTCCGCCATAGGAGTTGTGTGTCAATGTTGGTTTCGTAGATTTTCATGGGTTGAGTTCGGAAAGTTTATCGTCACTCAAAATACTCCCCACTGCAAGTCGTCTTCTCCATCTTCCTTTCTCTTTGGTCAATTGGTTTCGTCAAATTCTAATCCTAACCATTCTAATACATATTCTGCATTTATACTTTAGTTTTAATCCTCCAGCAGTTATTCTAATTCTACTCGAGGAATCAAATTCATTGCAAACACTTCTCAAACGGTATAATCTCTTTTTTAATTGTTGAATTTTGTAAAGTATTTTTTTTGTTGTTGTTATTGTTGTGCTGCTATCTCTTTGGAGCATTTCTTCTATTTATATAGCACTTTGTACATGTTTATTTTTTTGGAGGACTGAATTTTTGAATTAATAGCTTGAGGTTTGTTTATATTGACCATTTGATCACTTAATTTTGTATTATCCAAAAACTTTTTTGTTATTATTTTTTAAGCTTTAATTGGAAAGTAGTTTGTTGGCTTGATGTTCTGCTGCAGGTGGATAGGGTGATTCTATTTGACTTTCACTTAATTTGATTTTGTATGTAATTTACAGATAACTATGTGAGTTTTATTTGACGTCGAGTTGGAATCCATTGAACTTGTTAGTTGATGTTGTAATTTAATAAAAAGTATCTTCAATGAGTAGCATCTAAAATGGATTCACATAAATTATCGAATTGTAATCTTTCCCCGCACACATAGATGCAAACCAACATATTGTCTACTTCATGAATATTAAAAACTTAAGAATAAATTGTATTTAATCTCAAGTAGTATAAGATTCATATAAACTCTATTGGTTTGTCTAACTTTCTTAGGTTACAACTACTATAATAATATACAAATGTTTCGTGAAACACATTATAATTGCTAAAATTGTTGACCAAACTTGAGAAGGATTTCTGAATCAATGACCAATGTCTACCCTGGGCTAGTGCAAGTAAAACAGCATCTTCAATCTTCAATAAAATACATAAGAAAAGAATTGAACAACCAACATATCCTATAATAGGAGCATCCTCCAAGGCTGTAGTAGAGGAGCTAAAACAACTGGTGCTAACATGAAATAGAAATTGAGCAACATAATAGTAGAATGATGAGTTTCTGGAACATGAGTTTCTGGAATATGTTATTCCCTGCTACTCAATTGGACAACATGAGTTTCCAGAATGTGCTTATTGAGTTATTTGTAGTTTTCTAATTCAAAGTTAGTACTATGCAACAAAAGACTGTACCATCTTAGTTTGTTTTTTCTAAGTTTTTTTTTTCGCTACATCTTTGAATTTTTGTAGGGTCTTATATTAAAATATTGTTTCCATGAGTAGTACCGGAAGATCTTGGATGTACAACATAATGTGTAATGGAATTCTGAATAGGGATTTTATAGCCGGAGTAAATGATTTTCTCAATTATTGTATTACCAGCCCCAAGGTATATAAGATTAACGGAAAGATTAAAGTGTCCATGTAAGTGTTGTGCCAATGCTCCATTTCTTATGGTGGAGGAGGTTAAGTATCACCTATAAACTAAGTGTTTCATAAGATTGTACAAGCGATGGACATGTCATGGTGAAACACACGATGAGAGTGGTACCTCCCAGGCATCGGAGGTCCAAGAAATCGAAGCACAAACTGATCCTAGAATGGGTGATTATGCACGAATGGTGATGAAGAGGTTTACCTCGAAACATCTAACTCTGAGACTAACTACATGTAGGAGACTAGCGATGAAGATGATGTTTCATATGAATAGGTCAATACGGTGTATATTTTTATAATTTTATAATTTTTATTATAAGGCATAAATCAATGCAATAAATTGATTTTTTCTTTTCTTTTGAAATGCATATGTCTCGGGATTAATTAGATGAAGAAATTGACGACATATATAAGATGTTGTTTGAGCTTATGTTGAGGGGAGACAAGAGAGAGGACGAGGCCAACAAATAGGACATACAGATGAGGTGCACCCGACCAATAATGGAGGTAAGTTGGCGAGAGTTTGTCTTTATTCATATTAATATAAAATAGAGAATTCTCACACTACTTACAATTCATACATGTGCATCGTCTTCTACGGATTGATATGGGTCCATTACGGCTTCAGGTTAGTACGGTGCCTACTTATTGATCGTCTTTCATGAGCGACGCTAATTCTTCGACCACTGTGAACATTGATCAAAGCCTCCAACATATAGAAACTAAATTCAATGATCGAATTCAGCATATTGGTGATTTTGTTCACCATGTGGACGATCGGGCGGAGAGTATTGAACAAATCCACCAAACCATCGTCACTCAAAACCTTAGCATTAGGGGGAGCTCCATAGGTTACGAGCAGACATAAACTGTCGTGGCCCCGACAGTGATACAGGTATTCCTATCGCATGATGTATGTATTTGGTATATTGATATTGATATTTTGTTTTGGCGCATATATTAAATATTATTTTTTTTGTTTTTTAAACAATCATTGATTATGCTATTTGATTCTTGATGCAGGTGTTTCATCCTATCTTATGATATATATGTATTTCTTATATTGATGCTAATATTTTATTGTGGTACAAATATTAATTACTATTTTATTTTTATTATTAAAACAATCATTTGATTACATTGTTTAATTCTTGATGCAGGTGCTCTTCTTATCACTTGATATATGTATTTTGTATATTGATGTTTATATTTTATTTTGGCAAACATATTAATTACTATTATGATTTTTTTATTGAAACAATCATTTATTACATTGTTTGATTCTTCATGCAAGCGTTCTTCCTATCATATGATGTATGTATTTTGTATATTGATACTTATATTTTATTTTGGCAAACATATTAATTACTATTATGATTTTTTTTTTATTATTGAAACAATCATTGTTTGATTCTTGATAAGGTGTTCTTGGTATCACATAATGTATGTATTTCTTATATTGATGCTTATATTTTATTTTGGAAAACATATTAATTATTATTATGATTTTTTTATTAAAACAATCATTGATTATATTGTTTGATTCTTGATGCAGTGCTCTTCCTATCACATGATGTATGTATTTCAAATAATGATGTTTAGATTTTATTTTGGCAGATATATTAATTAGTATTATGATTTTTTTTAACAATCATTGATTACGTTGTTTGATTCTTGATGCAGGTACTCCTCCTATCGCATGATGTATGTTTTTTAGTATATTAATATTTATATTTTATTTTGGCATACATATTAAATACTATTATAATTTTTATTATATTATTATTAAAACAATCATTGATTACGCTGTTTGATTTGCTATGCAAGTGCTCCTCCTATCTCTTAATGTATGTATTAAGTATAGTGATATTCATTCTTTTATTTAGGGGCATAGGTTAAATACTATTGCATCTTGTTGATTGAAACAATAATTGACTACATTGTTTTATTCTTGATGCTGGCGTTACTTTTATCGGTGATGGATGCATTAGGTATATTGATGTTTATATTTTATTTTGGGAGACATTAAATACTCTTATCAGTTATGGATGCATTATGTATATTGATGTTTATATTTTATTTTGGAAGACATATTAAATACACTTATCGGTTATGGATGCATTAGACGTATTGATATTTTTATATTTTCTTTTAAGAGACATTAAATACATTTATCGGTTATAGATGCATTAGGTATATTGATGTTTATATTTTATTTTGGAAGACATATTAAATACATTTATCGGTTATGGATGCATTAGACGTATTGATATTTTTATATTTTCTTTTAAGAGACATTAAATTCTCTTATCGGTTATGGATGCATTAGGTATATTGATATTTATTTTTATTTTTTATTTTTGAAGACACATTAAATAATATTTCGTTTATCGAAACAATCATTTATTACACTGTTGGATCTTTCTTCATATGGAACATGATTGACTATTTGATTGTTAATAGTTTAGTTTTTAGAATTCAATTTAGTTTATTTGGAATTGATTGATATTGCTTGAATATAATTTCTTTAGAATTGGTTGAAATAGATTAAATAAATTTCTTTGGAATCGGCTTTATTTTATTTTAATTTTTAATATAATTTGTTTAGAATTGATTGATAAGTATTAAATATACTTTGTTTGGAATTGATTGATATTAGTTGAATGTGATTTGTTTGGAATCGGTGGAAATTTCTGGAATATAATTTGTTTGAAAATGGTTGATATATTGATTTAATTTATTTTGTTTGGAATATGTTGAAATTGGCATGTATTTTGTTTGAAATTGGTTTAATTTAATATTTTTTAATTTTGAATCGGTGGAAATAGGTTTAATTCAATATATTTGTGTAATTTACTTGACATTAGTTGGCATCGATTTTAAAACAATCTATTTTAAAAATATCTTAAGGAAATTTAAAGTAATTTATTTGGAATCAATTTAATTTAATTTGTTTTTATCGGAATTAGTTTACTGTAATTTGATTGTAATTGGTAGTAATGAGTGATTTGCAAGGGATTTAATAAGAAAATTGGTAAGAGATTTAACGAGAGAAGTAATGAGGGATTCTAGCAAGGATTTAGTGAGAGAATTAGCGAGGGATTTAGTGAGGAAATTATCAAGAGAATTAGTGAGGGAATTAGCAAAGAGATTAGTGAAGGATTTTAGTGAGACAATTAGCAAGGAATTTAATCCTTTACAACATCTAAATAAATCGTAATTAAATCCCTCAAAAAATTCCTCACTAAAATCCCTCGCTATAATTTTGCGATAGATAGAAAAACATCACAATGTGTTGCAATGAAAGGATTAGCAAAGGATTATTTTGCGTTAAAAATTCCTTCGCAAATCAAGTTTTGTGAGTGATTTTATCTCTTAGCGAGAGAATAATTCCCTCAGTAAACTCTAAGTCTTTTGTAGTGATCCTGCTAATATTATGATGAGACGAACTATTGAAAATACTAATGGTCATACTTTAAAAAATCAAAGGGTGTTGAATATAAATGAATTGCAATATGTTCCTTTCTCAAAAGTAAAGTTAATAACTGGACTATCACCAATCAAAATCAGAACTCAAACATGTGTATTTTTAGAACGAATTCACCGTCATATATGCGGGCCTGTAGATCCCCATGTGGACCATTCAAATGTTTTATGGTACTTATTGATGCATCTACTTGACGGTTGCACGTGTGTTTATTATCTATATGCAATTTAGTATTTGCGAGGTTGCTTCCTCAAATGATTAAATTACGAGTACAGTTTTCAAATCACCCAATAAAGAAAATTTGTCTTGATAACAATGGTGAATATTAATTCAAGGCATTTGACGATTATTGCATGTCTATTGGAATTGATATTGAGCATCATGTACTATTTTACATACTCAAAATGGTCTAATTGAATCACTTATAAAGAGGCTGCAATTAATTGCTAGACCAATTTTGATGAAATTTAGACTTCTCATATCTTCTTGGGACATACAATTATATACGTGGCAACAAAAGACCGACACGTTATCATAGCTAGCCTCCAATATAATTGGTGTACAATGAAAAGCTCAATATATCACATTTGCGAACTTTTGAATGCGTAGTTTATGTGCTAGTATCTTGCCCCAATGCACAAAAATGGGTCATCAACAAAAATTAGAGATATATATCAGGTACGAATCACCACCTATTATTAAATAACTTGAAGTATTAACGGTTTGCTTATTGTGATTTTTACGAGTCATATTTCCCGATATTAGGAGAGAAATTCATCAACTGAAGAAAAAAATTACTTGAAAAGTACTTTTCAAATTTTATTGATCCTCGTAATAGACAAAGTAATTTAGAAATGCAAAGAATTGTGCATTTTCAACAAATAACAAATTAGTTACCTGATGTTTTTTATAACTCCAATAGAATCACTAAATCATATAAAGCTGCAAAGAATGCACCGACTAAAATTAGTGTCCCTAAAGGATAAATACAAAGTGCTAACAAATAGAATGCATGTCTGAAGCATGGAAAACCTTTAGGCTCCAAATACACTACAAGAAAAAAAAAATCATTTTTGTAACAAAATATTTGTGTCTCTAAATCTACTTTTTCCGTTACTAATGACATTAGAGACGGAATTAGGAATGGAATTACGTTAGCTACGTGAACTTTAGGGACGAAATTCCGTTACAAATATATTATTTTTTTGTAGTGATATAACAATCCTCGAAAGAAAAAAGGAATAAATGAAAGGGTTCAAGAATTGAATATTAATCAAAATTTTCAAGAAACAAGTAGTTACGTGTATCAAATTACTAAAGAAATTGATCTTGATAAAACTTCTTCTGAAGTGAATGGGGTTTTTGAAATTTCAATAAATTATGTTACTATTGGAAAGTATTAGAACTGAAAAAAAAAATGTAAATATGGATAATACTTTCATATAATGTAACACTTGATTTAATAGAAATGACGAAGATCCTGAATCTAAATCAGTTCAAACATGAAAAGATTGACCAAAAAAAATGCAATTCAGTCTGAATTAAATTCATTGGTAAAACAAAAAAAAAATTGGAGCCACTGTACAAACACCTAAAGATGTTAAGCTTGTTGGCTATAAATTGGTACTTGCTTGAAAACGAAATAAGATCAATGAAATTGCTAGATATAAAGGCTTGTAGCCCAATATTTTTCACAAAGACCTGAAATTGATTTTAGTAAAACTTATTCTCTAATATTAGATGGAATAACATTTCGATATCTTATTTCTTGGCAATTCATAAAAATTTGGATATGCATCTGATAGAAGTTGTAACTGCTCATTTATATGGTTCATTAGATACTAATATCTATATGAAAATTCCTGAATGCTGCACATTTAGTTTCACATATGTGTCATCACTTGTAATGTCATATAGTTGTTTGTTTGTTTGTGACTAATCACCATAATTTAAAGTTATAAATAAGCCTTTGTACCACAAATGAAATAAATGATTTTCCCTCAACATTATTTGTAACACTTTATATAATAACAATCTTGAAGTGTTACACGCCACATCAAAACAACGTCACACGAAAAGATGACTCATCCTGATGGTAAAGCTAAAACATAATAACAGTGAGTGTAAAAGTTTTTCTTTACGTTAAAATATGCAACTCTAGAATGTCATTATAAAAATTTAAAATTCTTAATGTATCTAAAATGTAGAGAGTCTGTAACTCTAAATTTGGACAATGTCCAATCCAAAAGTTCATGAATACTCAATAAAAGTCTCACCCAATGATGGTCTAGCACCGATTTGCACCGATTTAACTTATTCTTAATAAATCAGATAGCCTAGCACCGGCTTATCCATAGACAAGAGTTGGTCTAGCACCAACTGAACTTTATGTGTATCATATCCTCTCCCACGCACCCCAAGGATCATCAACTGCTAGGCCCCTCGACAGTCTGGTCATGACTATGGGCTGTAGCTGGTCGACTCTGATACCAACTGTGACATCCCGACCCGTAAGCAACACTAAGCGGGGCATATCGGAATGCAGAATGACCCCACAGGTCAATACGAGTCCTTCCAGTGTGCTTTTGTCCTCATTCACGGGCACCTTGGGAGACTTCCCAGGGGTACCCAACCTCAAATTACTCTAGGGTAAGCACACTTAACTCTAGAGTTCTTTCAGTATGGCTCTCGGAAAGGGATATACACATTATTAACATGAGTAGTCTATTCAATCCACTTAACCTTTATTAAACCTCAGGTGTATCACATCCTCCCCGACTCATATCACTATTCAACTCCGGGGGTATTACATCCTCTCCGACTTAAGAATGCAATGTCCATGTTGCACCCTAATGATCTATCAACTGCTAGGCCCCTCAATAGTCCGGTCAATGAATATGGGTTGTACTATGATACCAACTGTGACACCCCGGCCCGCAAGCTCCAATGCATTTTGTCCTCACTCACGCGCAATCTACAAGACTTCTCAAGGGGTCACCCATCCTCACATTACTCTAGGGCAAGCACACTTTACTCTGGAGTTTTTTCAGTAAGCTCCCGAAAAAGAATATACACATTGTTGACATTAGTAGTCTATTCAATCGATTTAATCTCTATTCAATATTGAATGGCCTAACACCGGCTCATCCATACACGGGAGTTGACCTACTACCGGCCCAAATTCGAGGTTATCATATTATCTCTCTCGTTATCTCCCCTTCTCTCTCTAATTGAAACACAAAAACACACTCACGTTTATCTCTATATATATTTGGTTATATATATATATACTCTCTTTATCTCATCTTAATTGTCATTTTTTTCTATTTTTGTTTGCCGCATAATAATTGACATCTTTCTATTTTGAGTAAAACTTATTAAATCAAAACATATTTAACAAATATAAATCAACCTAATTAATTAAATAGCATATAATATCATACATTATGTACGACCTATTGAAAACCCCTTTATTTCTA